AAAGACAAATTCCTAATACACTAAATTGTGAAAGTGATCTTAAATGGAATGTAAACGTGTTTTAGGAAGAGTATTATTTAACTTCTTAGGTGCAGTACTGAGCTGAAGAGCCTTGCCACTTAACCTCAGAGTCTGATTTAAAAGCGACTGGCTAGATCCATCCTTGCTTTAGTGTAGCCTCAGCGTGCAAGATTTTATCCCGGTCCTATGCCATCTCAGAGCAGAGAGTTTTCCCCAGTCCAGCGTCGGGCTGCTGTGTCCTGGTGAGCAGGGAGTGTGGAGCGGGTCTGCTGATCTGCCTCTGTCCCCGTGTCCAGGAATTCGGCCGCTGAGACGGTGGAGCAGGAGCTGCTGTTCGTGGGCACGGAGAACGGGAAGCTGCTGGCGATGAGGGATCTGGTCAAGAAGGTGAGAGAGCCCAACCCGAGCCCGGTCAGGAGGTGATGTCCCGTGAGTTAGTGCACGCCATTCTCCTTCTCTCTCACTCTCTGCGCTGAGCACTCCTCCCAGCTAGGACAGGCGACAGGAGTCTGGAGGGAATTCTGTAGCTTTTATTTGATGCTGCTTCATCCACAGTTTAGAAGGTCAGACATTAGGGGAGGAACATCTGCTGCAGAGGCATTTGTAACAGGGCACGTGAGAAAAAAGGTTAAGGTAGTTTCAGGGTGCCTCATGGCAAGCGAGTGGCTGGGTCAGTGTTGGAACCAGGGATCCCTCAGTTAGAAACGCTTTTCTTTAGCTGCTGGACAGTGGAACGCGCTCTGTCCAGTGCCATGTTAAAAACCTGGGCAGCACCCCTTAATCAGTGCCTGTCAGTCTCTTAACTGTGCCCCCCCCCCTCTCCTGGTGAGTACCCGTGCCCGCGGGCGCGGACAGGGTATGGCGTTCGCTTTCTTCCTTTCTGGAGCCCTGTCCCTCCATGCCTTGAGCAACGCTCTCTTCCTGTGGCTGACAGGGCTTCCACCCGCCGGTGCTGGTGTTCGTGCAGTCCATCGAGCGCGCCCGCGAGCTCTTCCACGAGCTGGTCTACGAGGGCATCAACGTCGACGTCATCCACGCTGAGCGCACGCAGCAGCAGGTATCCCCCGGCGCCCCGTCCCCAGGGGGCACACAACTGCCTCCAGAACCGTGAAACCCAAGGGGACGCTAAAAGACGTGCGAATAGACGTGCATATCGGCACGGGGACAGTCACCGGCTGGGAAACGCCATCAGATTTTGATTTGTCTCCCTCTTCGTTATGCCAGGGATAATGTGAATATTGTTCAAATTTCCTGGCCGGTGACCCATTTAATATTTTTGTTGTAGTTCAAAATTAAGCGATTACAATGTAAAAAGTGAAGTTGTTGTGTGAACAGTGCTGCAGCTGATTAACTTTACACTTGCTGCAGTGTAAAGTGCTTATTTAATCATGTGGCCCTTGGAACTCGAACCCCTCAGTTTCATGACCTGCTACAAACTGAAATTGAATTCTGCATGACGACAGTAGTGTGGCTCCATGGTTGCTTTGGTGAGGTGGTTGAAAAGCAGGTTGAGGGGCCTCGTGGGTAAAGGCACTCTCTGGAGTGCAGGTTGAACTGAAGGGTCCCGGGTTCGAGCCTCAATCGTATCACGAGTCGACTGGGATCGGGATTCCCCCGGCACAGCTGGCCTCTCAGTGACACAGCGCCCCCTGCTGCCTGACAGGCGATCAGCGAGGGACACGCCTCCCCACCCAATCAGTGCCGAGCCTCCTGCATGTGGGCGGGTCCCGGATTCTGCCAGCACTTCCTCATTGTCCCCCATTTGCAGTTAGGAGGTTTATAGCTCTGAGCTGAGATGGGGGGAAAAACACCCAAGTGGGCGAATCCAGTTGACTAAAAGTACAA